ATGAGTCACTTTTTACGCTAGTTTGCCTGTAAAAGAGTCAATTATTATTCGATTTTCATAAAAGTGACACCATTTGATGTGTAATGTCAATTTTAACTAGGTCAAACCAATTTAACATTTTCAATATCACCGGAAATGACGTAATTTGGGCAAAAATTGTATTTATAGCCTTCGAAACCAGTAATTTATTCAAATGAGTCATATTTGTTATTTGTTTAAAATTTTGATATTTGATTCAAATCAACTAATACAATAAACCCTTACGATCATATAGATATCACAAAATGGTTTCTAACTTGTTCAGTTGCGGAGAAATAGGCAATTTTCAACAGGTCACTTTTTAAGGTTTTTTTGTCAATAAAAGTGTCAATTATTATTCGATTTTCATGAAATTTTCACTGTGTGATACATAATGCCATTTACGATATCATACAAGTAATTTAAGATTTTCATTATCACCGGAAGTAACGTCATTTTGGCAAAAACTGTATTTTTAGCCTTCAAAACAGATATTTTATTCAAATGAATCAGATTTGTAATGTTTTTAAAATTATGATATTTGATTCCAATCAACAAATAGAATGAACTCATTCGATCATACAGATACCTCAAAATGGTTTCTAACTTGTACGGTTGCAGAGAAATAGGCGATTTTCTACAAGTCATTTTTCAAGGTTTTTGGTCTATAAAGGTGGCAATTATTATAGGATTTACATAAAATTTTCAACATGTGATGATGCTATTTCTGATTTCATAAACCAATTTAACATTTTCATTATCACCGGAAGTAATGTAATTTTGACAGGATCACTGACATGTAGCAAATGAATTGATTGCTGGATTTGGTTGTTTCTGCGTCCATTTTATTTCATGTGTGCAATGCTTATGTGGAAACCTGTTTAACGGTTTCATTGGTACCGGAAGTGACATAAGTTCAAGGGTAACGTGGCACCGGTGAAACCCGTCATTACTGCTTCGCAGTTCTAGTTCTTATTATTATTATTCTTCTTTTGTTTTGAGTAGATCTCAGCAACTGATTGTCGGATCGTTACGATTTCTTCGGTTTTATCGGAAAAGTGGGTGTGACTTAGAGGATAAAGCTATTTTGAACGTTCTGCGACAATGCGAAATGTCCGAAATCACCGAAGCTATCGTTTTTAGAAATATTGCAGTAATTTTAACAATAATCATTGGATTTTAACTTTCGATGCATTTTGGCATAGCCGGAGACGGGGCACATAGCTACGCTACTTTTGATTTTTGATTTTCGGCAAATCTTCGCAGATATTAGGCGCTAAATTTAGAAAATTTAAATTTTTACAAAAAACTTTTTTATTTATGAATATTTTTTAATCGTGTTTTACACAAATATAACGAGTCCTCTGACTTGGGCAAAAATGTGAAAATTTTTTGTCTCGGTAATTTTCCTTGGCCCCCATTGGCTAATTCAGTTTTTCAGTCCTAGATTAATTATTTATTGTTCGATTTGTATAAAACAAAGTTCATATGCCCCGTTGTCTCAATTGTCATTTTTTTTGTTACCAATAGTGTTATCTGTCGGCACCGGAAGTGGCGTAAATTGACAAAAAACTACAATTTTGACAGTTAGGTACCATTTTTCGAAAGCAAATATTATTTTGTTCAAATCTGGTATAACTGAAATTGTGCGCCCTTTAAAGGCGCACAAAATGTTGGGACCATTTTTTTTAATTTCGATTCCGTTTTCGGGCTATTTCGATTAAAAGGTGAAAAAAGGTGTAAAATTAAGCTATTTACAACCCATTCAGCGTTTTCATATTTTAAAATATTACTTCGTAACTTTCATAAACTCGTAGCAATAATCTATACGGAGAGAATGTATGTGAAAATTAATTTGTAATATGCGCAGTTGCCGAGAAATGGGCAATTTTGCATGAGTCACTTTTTACGCTAGTTTGCCTGTAAAAGAGTCAATTATTATTCGATTTTCATAAAAGTGACACCATTTGATGTGTAATGTCAATTTTAACTAGGTCAAACCAATTTAACATTTTCAATATCACCGGAAATGACGTAATTTGGGCAAAAATTGTATTTATAGCCTTCGAAACCAGTAATTTATTCAAATGAGTCATATTTGTTATTTGTTTAAAATTTTGATATTTGATTCAAATCAACTAATACAATGAACCCTTACGATCATATAGATATCACAAAATGGTTTCTAACTTGTTCAGTTGCGGAGAAATAGGCAATTTTCAACAGGTCACTTTTTAAGGTTTTTTGTCAATAAAAGTGTCAATTATTATTCGATTTTCATGAAATTTTCACTGTGTGATACATAATGCCATTTACGATTTCATACAAGTAATTTAAGATTTTCATTATCACCGGAAGTAACGTCATTTTGGCAAAAACTGTATTTTTAGCCTTCAAAACAGATATTTTATTCAAATGAATCAGATTTGTAATGTTTTTAAAATTAAGATATTTGATTCCAATCAACAAATAGAATGAACTCATTCGATCATACAGATACCTCAAAATGGTTTCTAACTTGTACGGTTGCAGAGAAATAGGCGATTTTCTACAAGTCATTTTTCAAGGTTTTTGGTCTATAAAGGTGGCAATTATTATAGGATTTACATAAAATTTTCACCATGTGATGATGCTATTTCTGATTTCATAAACCAATTTAACATTTTCATTATCACCGGAAGTAATGTAATTTTGACAGGATCACTGACATGTAGCAAATGAATTGATTGCTGGATTTGGTTGTTTCTGCGTCCATTTTATTTTATGTGTGCAATGCTTATGTGGAAACCTGTTTAACGGTTTCATTGGTACCGGAAGTGACATAAGTTCTAGGGTAACGTGGCACCGGTGAAACCCGTCATTACTGCTTCGCAGTTCTAGTTAGCTATTTATTTTTATATCGAAGCCCGAAGAACAGGAAATCAAATTGGTGTGGCCAACATTGAAATATCAGATATCAAGGATGAAGTTGCCTTTATCAACTCTTGTAAATCTTTTAATGTACAGGATTCCTGGAAGCATCTATTTTAGAACAAAAATTTCTTTTCATTGATAACTTAAGTAATAATTCCTTTTTTATTTAATACTAATAGTGTTTTCTTTTTCCTTATATATAATTGTTATATCTACTGAAGCTAATTTAATTTCTCAACAAAGCCTAGATCAAAAAGACTATGAAATAATTGCTTACATTGGGGTGGATTTATATAAGTAAACTTTTTTCCAGTTGTGCAAGCTAAAAAAATAAAGTATGTGTATTTTTTTTTTTTTTGGGGGGGGGGGGGGGTCTGCATTTATAAAATTAAATGACAGAGGGACTTAAAATAAATAAATGGCCACTTTCTAAAATTATTAATTAGGCCTAGATTGGAAAAGAATTTTGTAGGGATATTTACATCTTTATCAACAAGTATACAAACAAAGCTGAATTTATTAAAAAAATGCACATTTGAATATAAACAAGATTTTTAAAACTGTTCTAATATACCATGCAATTGATAATAAAATGCAACATCTAATTTTATTAATCATACTATAGATAGGCCTATACTGTAGGCCTGTGTGTGGCACTGAGGTGCGGGTTAGTTAGCTCGCAATATAACCTTTTTCCTTTTGCAAATTAAATTGGTACGTACATGAATGAAGAAAGGCATTTTTTGCCCATTTGGAACCTTTTTTTAAGTTAACGTCACACAGTAGCTATTTAATCTTTTGCAATAATCTAAAACTTTTTTGGAAGGAGATATCTTGTTCTTTTTTTTCATATAATTTTTATATACGTGTTCATTTTATTAATTTCATAAACGTAAGTTTCAAAAACGTCAATTTCGCGTGTCACTGTGCGTACGTGATGTCGAAGCACAATACTGGATCTTCAATGAGTTACTTTCTATTTTTCACTCGGCAACCGGCTGCAGATTTCACTCGGCCAACTTCGCTTACTCCTCTACACCAAACCATTTGGGGGGTGGGGGACGGATCCATCGTGTTTGGCGTAGCGGAGGGACGTCACTAAATTTAAGACAGGATGTAGGAAAGATTCCTGTTAGCGTTGATGTTGTTTTCGTTCAGACTGGGGGTAATGACATAGGTCTATCCAATAGATATAGGATATCTATGGACGCTACACTTGAAAAAGCCGGGTTTTTAAAAAACCGGGTTTTTAAAAAGCCGGCTTTTTCAAGCCTAGTGTAGACGAAGCTATATGTAAATGAAATTTGAATGATTAGAAATGACAAGGGGTAAACATTACACACAACATTCAGTAATAGAAATCCAAACCTTTATTTTCGAGATTCTTTATCGTGTCCCGACCTAATTATAATGTAGACTTGTTTTCATATCGATTACCCGACGCCAAGACCACTTCTACTGTACTAGCACTAATTTCAATGTAGGCTACTTAGTTAGTAGTCTTACCCCAAAAGTTAGAAAAGACTTCGTCAGCAAAAAAAAATATTTACAATCGGTACATCTATGATTAAGATTTGATTTATGCAGTTTTAGTCAAATACTAGCCTACTATAAAGTAACAAACTTCATTTACATTACCCAGGTCAGAAAATCTCCTCAGAAAATAAAAGACAACTGTTTAGTGTTTGTAGCCCAATAAATATAAGAAGCTGACGCCGTTAAAAACAGTGTTAGCCTAAACATCAGAATATTGCGCCAAAAGCAAACCAGTTAAAAATATAATTTGCGGGTCACGGAAAGATAACTCTGTTTGGAAACATGGTTTGGTGTAGAGGAGTAACCGAAGTTGGCCGAGTGAAATCTGCAGCCGGTTGCCGAGTGAAAAATAGAAAGTAACTCATTGAAGATCCAGTATTTAGTGACGTCCCTCCGCTACGCCAAACACGATGGATCCGTCCCCCACCCCCCAAATGGTTTGGTGTAGAGGAGTAAGCGAAGTTGGCCGAGTGAAAAATAGAAAGTAACTCATTGAAGATCCAGTATTGTGCCATCCTTCATGGCTAGGCTGACCTTAAAAATATCTTTGTTTCACCAAACCCGACCCACAATCGAGGAGAAGGGTCGGTAGGTCGGTTTTTTTTTCAGATTTTTTTTTAAAGTCAGAGAAATCAATACAGAAAACTTATTAGCTGTATACTACAGATTCATTAATTTTGTTTAATGAATTTGGGGTCTGACGTAAAAAGTAACGAACTGAAAGTTTTTATTAAACTTAAGAGCTAATTTGACAGCTTAATAATTTTCCGGGTGGAAACATTCGTCTTCTTTATTGGCAAACAAATCAATGACATCGGGATTTTTCGTGATGCCCGACTCGCACACGATTAGCCACGAACTTGAAGTGTGAAACTCCTTCAACACGTTTTTAACGATAGTGCGCGTTGTGCTTTCATTTTTCTCGAAAACGGATATTGAAAATATCGTCGTCATGTTTAAAACTACGCACCACAGACATAGAGGCAGAATTATTTCGTGGGAATGGACGTGTATTCGTCTGAAACCATTTTGTTGAGAAGCGACACCTATGACGCTTTCGTCTTGATCAACCAGTTTCAATAATGAATCAAACCATAGCCATAGTATAGGGAAATAACTCTCATGATATATTTCAGGTTGACACACAAAATAAAATAAAAAGATCGTGGAAAAGTGCAATAAAATAATTTAAGTCGGGGGTGGTTTTAGTTAGTCGGTCGCGTTAGGCGAAACAAAGATATTTTTAAGGTCAGCCCTATGATCGAGAGTTTACCTGACGGCAGAGCTGGGAGAATATGGAAATACCCTACTTCCTTGGATTTATGGGATAATTATGTGGGAGAGTGATTTTATTGGGGAATATTTTAAAGTCACCAATACTAAGTTTTAAATGTTAGATAATATGTTCCACTTCACTAGCTTTAGCTATCCTGTGTTTCTATCGACTTTCTATCCACTATCTTAAGTTAGAGTGAGTTTCTTCTCACTTTTGGTATCTTGTCTTGGTTTTAACCTTTGAACCTGAGTATATTGTGGTCAGGTGATTTGGTATCCAGGGAATGTTTGGACACTTAGGTAATAGAGTTTGAGGCAATAGGTTGACTATTTTCAGTTCTCCATATTGCAACTTATTTCTGTATAGTCATAGTTTAATTAGCTAGTTTTAGATATTTCATTTCTAATATAGTTTATATAGAAGTTAGATTAAAGTATTCAATAGTTCCAGTGATTGCCAGGTAGGGTATGTATTATATATGGTTTTATGTAGTTTTATCATAGTTTTCAAAGTCTTGGTCATGTTGGACATATAGTGTCAGACATATTGGATTTTTAGTAAAATGTAAAGTTCCTTGGGTTTAGTAATGGTTTATAGTTAGTATAGTATACATTTCACCACTTTCATTCAAATATACTTTAAAACATCTATTGCATATTCACACATTCATATATTTTATTACAGATACTTCAAAGGTACTTCACCTTTGACAGTCTGTCTAGCCAGCAAAACCCCTCTCTAGGGTAAGCTACTTATTAAGTGTTTAGTTATTTAGATTATTTAGATTGGTATTATTACATACATATACTTTAACTTGTAGCTGTCATACAAGTTAGCAGGATGAAGTTAATTATATAGGCAGTATTTAAGATCGTGTTTAAGTGACTAAGTAAAATGGATTTATAGATAGGCCTATGTAGCATGTATCTAGTATGTATATTTCTACTACTAAAGTTATGATGCTATTATTAATTTGTAATGGGGTATAGATATAGATTTTATCAATTCAACATATGTATTATTATATATATTTAGTCTTATTTATTATGTATTTCAGGGTTTCTGTTATATCTGAATAAACCGTTGAATCGAACCCTTGGTGTGGTCTTTTCTACAACTAGAGAATGGACCCCCCGTAACAATTATATGAACAACTGGTCTGACAGAAAGTGGTTAGAAAACTTCCGTATGGGAAAGAGAACATTTGAGGTACCGTACATGTGTAACTTTTTCAAAATTTCAATCCAGCTGGCGTAGCCTACATGTATATCTAGTATCTAATGCCATAGTTTTACAGGTACTGATAGTGATTACATCATTACTGTAGTAATACTAATTAATAGGCTTATACTATATATAGTAAAAATAATACTGCAGAAAATAGCATGGCTGACACTTGACTGGGACGAATGACATCCGGGTACTTGATAAATCCCGGATTTACCGTCTACACACATAAAATTGCCGGTTTTTTGAAAAAGCCGGCTTTTTGATTTTGAAAAATCCCTCAATAATTGCCGGATTTTAAAAAGCCGGCTTTTACGATTGAGAAATTGAAAAAGCCGGCTTTTAGGAAAAAAACGGGATTTAAAAGGCTAGTGTAGACGGTGAATGCTGCTACTGTAGACGTAGCTTATAGCTTCGTCTACACTAGGCTTGAAAAAGCCAGCTTTTTAAAAACCCAGTTTTTTCAAAACCCGGCTTTTTCAAGTGTAGCGTCTACACTGACTGAACGGAAAAAGACGATGAACACCGACCTTCGTTATTTGTGGAACTTCCGGTTTATTTATTACGCCATCGGCTTCAGTCAATTTTGCAGAGATAATAATATAATAATAATGATTACTTTGGTTACTTTGGTGCAATTATATATCCAGCTTATGGAATATAGCAGATCGCTGACAGACTTACGGAAGAGGGCGAGAAAACGACGTGCAAGACGATTGCGATTGTATATCCGTCGAAGACACTTTCGACTAACATCCTTCATGGCTATGATCGAGAGTTTACCTGATGGCAGAGCTGGGAGAATATGGAAATACCCTACTTCCTCGGATTTATGGGATAATTATATGAACAACTGGAAGCAATGCCAATGTTATGAATGTACGGAAGCTCGGGACGAATGACATCCGGGTACTTGATAAATCCCGGATTTACCATCTACACACATAAAATTGCCGGTTTTTTGAAAAAGCCGGCTTTTTGATTTTGAAAAAGCCGGCTTTTTGATTTTGAAAAATCCCTCAATAATTGCCGGATTTTAAAAAGCCGGCTTTTACGATTGAGAAATTGAAAAAGCCGGCTTTTAGGAAAAAAACGGGATTTACCGGTAAAAGGCTAGTGTAGACAGTGAATGCTGCTAGTGTAGACGTAGCTTATTTATAATTTGTATAACGGCAATACGCTCAAATGTCTGGATAACTGTACATTTTCCGATATGTAGTAGTTATTAGCACACTTTCCAAGGTGTATCGGTGAATATCAGGACAGTTTTAGTCGAGGGGCCCAGCCGAGGCGGCTCCCGACCAAAACTGTCATGATATTCACCGATACACCGAGGAAAGGTGCTAATAAGTTACTTACATCACATTTCTATCGAGTATTGTGAAGCAAAATGTGAAAAATAGTATTTATTATCGAGTCGTTTCAACCGAAAAGTGACAAATACTTTCTGCTCTTTCATTATTTATCCCTTTCTGAGCCTCACGTTACATTTCATGGTAGAATGATTTCGCAGTGGAGAGACGACCTGAGTAGTATTTACACGTGCGTCTTGCTATGATACTCTGAGCGTTTAGACCACATCGTCAAAAACAACTTGTCTATGGCGTAGAGGACTGCGATATTATTAAATGTAGTGTAAAGGAAATGCGAAACGTGGGTCATTCCTGGTGAAAGTATGCATCGGCGGATGGTTCTTCCGTTGAAATTTATTTGTAATAAAGTTTATGACTTTCAAGGCGTTTTTTTTCATCCTGCTTATCCTGCTTAGGAAAAAAACGGGATTTAAAAGGCTATGATCGAGAGTTTACCTGATGGCAGAGCTGGGAGAATATGGAAATACCCTACTTCCTCGGATTTATGGGATAATTATATGAACAACTGGAAGCAATGCCAATGTTATGAATGTATGGAAGCTCGGGACGAATGACATCCGGGTACTTGATAAATCCCGGATTTACCGTCTACACACATAAAATTGATATGTATAATAATTGATTTTTGTAATATGTTATTATGTTAATTTAATGTCATTGTATATGTTTTTGAACTGCCATTTAGTTTCCCCCATTTTGTTTTGTTACTATGATTTTGACTAGTTGTTTCATGTACAATGTAAAGAGAGCCATCTTTATCAATCGCGATCTGGGTCGGACGAAACGTCTGCAACTTGTTGCTTGATAGGTATCTAAAACGGTATTAAAGTATCCGTGTATCAGAAATGGACAGTACTCTTTCTGTCCATTTCTGATACACGGATACTTTTATGCATGTATTGCAAATAAACAGGACAGTTTTATCAAAGGTTGCCAGTGGCAACGAGTAGAAGTGGGATGTAACTGAGAAAAACAAATATCGATTTATTTCACTAGACTACTGATATCTTTCCAAATTATTCCACGGTTTCAGATTTTTAAAACAAAAGCTTTGTAATATACATGTCATTGTAGATTAGATAGGTATTTTATTAATATAAATCAAAAGCAGATGAGTATATATAGTTTATTCAGTATTGGAGGTCACAGACCCAAAGATATAAATATACAATAATCATTTGGATGATGGTAAAAAGATGGTGCTAGATGAACAAATTTGAAGACAATTTACTAGGATGTACAATTCAGAATTAATTAAAAATACATTCATAGTGCTTTGGTTACTTAAACCTGATCACCTATTTTATACATGGCCTTATTGATATATTTTATAATAGATATAATATCCTTGGTATTAAAACAGTGACATAAACTTGAGAAGTTGTGTAAGTTATTTCGGATGCGCAAGTAATTTCTGGGAATATATTGAGCTCTCAAATCTTTTAATTTCTCACAAACATATACAATATGTACAATATCCTCACCTAGAAGGTTGCACAGACGACATAGGGGGGTGAGCTCCTTTTTTGTTTAAACAAATTTGCATTTGTGGGTAGTAGGTTTAATCTTACAAGCGTAAAAATTCGTTTTACACTTTTCTCCAAATATATGGATAAATATTGCTCTTGACAAATATTCTTTTTAAAGTTTTTGTAATATTGCAGACTATTTGAATTTGATAATACATCTGACCATTCTTGTAGATCAATATCACCAATATCGTTTGAATTCCAAACGAAACCAAAACCAATAGAGTAAAATAGTACCCTGGCTTTGGTTGCCCAGGTTACACGACCACCCGAATCTAACTGCCTTAGCATTATATATACTTGCTTAGGTTGTCTACATTTTGACATAAGGGCAAGTTTACACCAGTACTTGGCACAATTTGACATGTAATCAATGGATAATTTATGGCGACCACATTCACCTAGACTTCCTGCTGTTGACGAGCTTCTGTGTACACCAAGTAAAAATTTACACAAGTTTGACTGCACCCTTTCGATATCCTTTCTTACCTGAAAGCCCCAAAGTTTGGAGCCATACAAGAGTATAGGTTTTATTATTGAGTCAAATATTTTGAAGCAGATATTTAAAGAGGGGTAGTCAGCTTTACTAATAAGCCTCTTAATACAGATGAGAGCTTTATCAGCTTTGACTGAAAGAGTATAGACACATTTTGACCAGCATAATCTCGATGAGAATATAATACCAAGATAATTGTAGTACGATTCAGTTGAAATACGCGTGTTCTTAAAGTACCATTGTTCGTTCATCCTGAGTGGGCCACCATTTCGGAAGACGATAATTTTCGTCTTAGACAAATTTACTTCTAAATCAAAGTTATCACAGAATTTTTCTAATACATTAATTTTCCGCTGTAGCCCACCCACAGAATCAGCTACTATAGACAGATCATCAGCGTATAAGAGAAGTAGTATATCCTCAGCCTCCTGGATGGTAAATATGCCTCTAACATTTATATAGAAGCAGAAACACGGCGGACTGAGGATGCACCCTTGTCTTACACCATTGAAACTTTCGAAACTCTCTGTCTGTTTTGTCCCTAATTTAACACTAGATACTGTAGATGAGTATAAACTCTTTAAGGCAGTGTACACTTGTCCATGGACACCCTTCTCTATCAGGAGGGAAAGTAATTTGGTTCGATTGATAGAGTCAAAAGCCACTGAGAAATAGACATACAGACAGTAAAATCGACCTTTTGACCTTGACAAGAACTTCTGGACCAGGCCATTAAGAGTGAATGCATGGTCTATGGTAGAATATCCAGGACGATACCCCGCATGTGACACACATAGTTTGCCATGTTGGTCAGCCCATGAAGCTAGTCTCGCATTTAGAATTGACGTATAAACCTTCCCAACGCAGTCTAGAAGTGAGATTCCTCGATAATTTTGCATTCGAGGTGTGAACCCTTCTTATGTAGTGGTGAGATCAGAGCAGTCGCCCACGCCCGAGGGAATTGGCCATCATCAAAAATGGCATTATATAAAGCCGTTGGAAAAGGAATAAACATATCAGCACACGATTTAAAGAAGGATATGCCAATTCCATCCGGGCCAGGGGATTTGCCTGATTTCATCTTGTTTATAGCTTTCCTGACCTCCAAATCATTAATTGGGTCATTGAATTGACAGTTTACATGACAGTTACAATTGTCATGATAATTACAAATAACATTTTGAGCATTTTCTAGAACTTGATCATCCTCAGTTGACAACGACTTACTATACAGTTCCTTGAAATGATTAAACCATGTTCCATGGTCTATATTTAGACTATATGTGGACTTAGAGCTAAAACCTTTCAAAGACTTCCAGAACAAGGTTGGATCATTCAAGCTAGACTGTAATTTAATAATGCTCTCTTTATCATAATTTTCTTTCTTAACTTTACAGATATTCTTAAAATCATTCTTACACCTGTTATATACCTGTAGATCATCATCAATATCAGATGTTCTAAATTTATTTAGTGCTTGATATTTGGCAGATTTGAGGTAAAAGAAATTGCAATGAGCTTCTTGAGGACTAAAATTTGATTTGATTTGATACTTTTTATTTAAACAAACTAAACAGTGTTATT